TTAGGGTTTAGGGTTTAGGGTTCATTTATTGGCATATTATTTTGTGGGACCTGAGGGGTGCGAAAGGGTTAAGGAACCCATTCACGAAGGGTTTGAATAGGGTTTTGGGCTTAGGGATGTTTAGGGTTTAGAGTTTAGGGGTTTAGGGTTTACATCGAGGGGGGGGTTTATGGGGTACAAATACATCACCTGGCTCCGGCGTCTCTCAAAAAACTGCCCCCAACCCTTTCACTGTCATGCAGAAAGTCCGCATTCAGGGAATACTGTTTCTGCAAGTACAAGAATGTAAGCTGTTATAAGGCGAAGGCAGGATCCCTAAACCCTAAACGCGGGGTTTCCCGACATGGGGGTGGCCCTCTTGGCTTCCCATGGGTTCAGGATTTTGGCTTACAGTTTAGGGTAAGATGGCTCAGGGAGGACTACGGGGTCCTATTGATGGGACGAGAGAAGCATCACATCTATATAATACTCTAGACAAGGGTCTAGGGTTCAGGGTTTAGGGTTGAGGGTTTAGGGCTTAGAACGCTGACTTCTCTAGTACGTAAACCCTACACCCTAACCTTTATGTCGCTAATATTCTGGAAAAGCCTCACATGGCGCCTGCGTAGTTCGAGAGGATGACGCAGGGCTTCCCGGCCTCCTGTGTTTCGGATTTGCAGGGTTTAGGATCTTTACGGTTTAAGATTCAGGCTTGAGGCTTTAGTTTAGAATATGGATTAGGCTTTGAAGGTTGCAGGGTCTTAGGGGGGTTGTACAGGGATTATATGGGGTTATGAAGGAATGAAAATTGAGATATTGAGGACCCATTAGCAGAGAATCAGTGCAAAAGCAATTGGAAATGAAATGTAAGCTGCTACTCAAGGGTCTTAAGGTTGTAGCATTGGAGTGTTTTAGGCAAGAAGGGGCCTTAGGGGCTTAGGGCGGGGGATGTTGGATTTTTGAGGCATTAGGGTTTGGGGTTTAAGGTTTCAGGGTCTGAGTCTGATTTGTAGCCCTAAACCCTAAGCCCTAAACCCTAAACCCTAAACCCTAAACCTGAAGCCCTAAACCCTAAGCCCTAAGCCCTAAACCTGAAATCTTGCAAAACGCCGGGAACCATGTGCCAAATTGGAAGGGATCAGGATTTCTTGGGTGAACAATAAGATAATCCTAAACCCAAAGCCCTGGAGCCTAAACCGCGTGGATCAGGCTTGACAGGTTGGGATTAGGGTTTGGGGTTTAGGGTTTAGGGTTTAGGGTTTAGGGTTTGGGGTTTAGGGTTTAGGGTTTAGGGTTTAGGGTTTGGGGTTTAGGGTTTAGGGGTTAGGGTTTAGGGTACCCTAGACTCTAAGCCGTTCGGGTGGTTGAGGGCTTGCAACCCAGCAGGCTCGCCTCCAACAGAAATCGCCAATGCGCCTTAACCCAAACCCCAGACCGCTATACTTTAGGAGGACCCCCCACCCTGTAATAGTGGTACAATAGGAATAGAATAGGACCTTCGTATGATCCTTATTATCCCTTATAGCCACTATTACAGGGTGGGGGGTCCTCCTAAGCTATACTGCAGTGCAGGGTTTAGGGCTTAGGGTTCCGCATCTCAAGTTCAAGCACTCATTCCAAGAGCGGTTGTTTAAAGCCATAGAGCAATACTCACCCACGTTTAGGGTTTAGGGTTTAGGGCTAAAGGTCCCGAAAACTGGGCTTGGGGTTTGGGGCTAAGGTCCACAAGCCTCGAAGATTGTCACTCAACAAAGCTGGCTATGGGAATGTTTTCTAGACATGGGGACCCCAATATAGATCCCAGTATACTCTAGTCCTTATTATAGAGATCCCCAAAAAGGTATCCTTAATGCTGGGAAACTTCCATATCTATGGCACAGCATGAGGGTTAAGGGACCCTAAACCTTAAACCCTGAACCCTAAACCCTAAACCCTAAGCCCTAAACCCTAAACCCTAAACCCTAAACCCTAAGCCCTAAGCCCTAAGCCCTAAGCCCTAAACCCGAAACAGTCCAGGGTTGGTAGTATGCTGAACCCCCAGACTCCTGGCCCTCTTTTGGCTGATGAGCTAGCCTTGGATTGCTAGGGCTTTGGGTTTAGGATTTAGGGTTTCAACTGTTATCCCCTGAGCCCTGAGCCCTGCACCCAGACTCGAATCCAAAACCCTAAGCCCTAAATTAAAATCCCAAACGCGAAACCCCAAACCTAAACCGTACTCCCATACCTTGGAACCTAAACCCTACACCCTAAACCCTCACCCAAATTCTCTGCCTTCATCTTAGCTATGCACTCGGCCGCGCCCGGGAATGCTTCGCCTTCCAACACTAGGACGCTTGCAATTACTTTGGGGTTTCGCGGGCTTCGGGGGTCAGGGCTTCTGGGTTTTAAGGTTGAGGGTTGAGGGCTTAGGGTTTAGAGGGGGGTTCCACAGGAAGGAGGAGAGCTACCTTCGTCAGGATTTGTCTAAGGTTTAGGGCTTATGTGTAGTGTCAACCAAGAAGGGGACCTTCATGAGCTTTTACAGCTCAAGCGACCAGAGGAGCTTGAACCAAATGGGTTCAATACGCTCAGATCTAATGCACCCCACTTGTCGCACCTATATCGCAGTTTCCAGAATTAGGGGAAGAGGAGCCTAAGAACTGCGAGCAATGGAACATCAAATGGACAAAAAATGGAAAAAGAAATTGACACTGGACTTGTATGGTTTTTATGTGGATTCTGTAGCGTAGGGACCTAAATTGCTACCTTTATCATCTTGAGGTCTATCTGATATGCCTTTCACTATATTTCTTTGAGGAATGTATTACCATGATACTGGTGACTATTGAGGCTGCCCCCACACCCTAAATCCTAAACTCTAAACCCTAAACCCTGAACCCTAAAGGTAGTTATTGGTTTCTTTAGGACTTGGGCACGGAAGCTTGCAAGGAGATTGTAACACACGCTAATCCCTACTGTACATCCTACACAATCCTTACATAATTCGGGGTTTAGGGTTTAGGGTATAACCCTCTAAAATAAAAGCCCCAACATTCTAGACTCCATCCGCAACATGGCTTGCTTTGCAGCGCACAACTTTTGAGGACCTTGATCACAGGGCCACGATTAAGGTTTAGGGTTTAGGGAGTAAGCAGGGTCTAGGGTTTAGGGATTAGGGCTGAGGGTTAACGGACGAATCAAGGTTACCTGACTAGGGTTAGGGCTTAGGGATTGCGCTTTAGGGTTCAGGGCCACAGTCAACGGACAAATTAGAGTTTAGGGATTAGGGTTTAGGGGTTAAGGTTTAGGCTTAAGGGACTCATTGGGGAGTAGGGATCAGGTTTCGTGATTCAGGGTTGAGCGACTACTTCGGGTTTGGGGTTTAGGGCTTAGGGATTAGGGTTTAAGGTTACAGGACTAATCAGGGTTTCAGGTTGAGGGTCTAAGTAGGGTTTTGGGATTAGGGTTTAGGGTCCCTTTAATTCATGTCTTTCCTCCCCCAAAGCAAAATGGAATCCCATGCAGCGTCTGCTGAAAGCATACTAATCCAAAGGGGATACCTGTTCAGGTTGCATGGCAGTTTGGGGTTTCGGGTTTAAGGCTTGGGGATTAGGGTTTAAGGTTTAGGGATTAGGGTTTAGTCTTTAGGGGTTAGGGTTTAGGGTTTAAGGTTTAGGGATTAGGAGTTCAGGGTTTAGGGCTCTAACATGTAAACCCTGAACTCCAGTTCCTAGAGCCCCCCTGAAGTAGATAGACTATGGCTCTGGGTATATTATAACAAGAGCTCCATATACCCCATAGTCTATCTATTAAGGGGGACTATAAACCCTAAACCCTAAACCCTAAACCCTATAACCCTAAACCCTAAACCCTATAACCCTAAACCCCTAAACCCCTAACCCTAAACCCTAAACCCTGATAAGGGGACTATAAACCCTGGGGTCAGGGTTTGCGAAACTTTTTGCAGTTGTGCACTGGAAGGTGCTCCCAACTAAAGCACCCTCCTGCTGGTTCCAAACTGGGCGCAAAGCAGCAGGTTTAGGGTCTAGGGTTTAGGGTTTAGGGTTTAGGGTTTAGGGTTTAGGGAACCGACGTAGGATGTTTAAAGTTTAGGGGTTTAGGGTTTAGGGGTGAGGGTTTGGGGATGAAAGTTCGGGAGTTGGATTTGAGGTTAAAGGTTTAAGGTTTACATTCCCGGTGCCGTAGATGGGAAAGGAAAGCAAAAGTTACTAGTTAAGGCGAATCAACCTAGAACCAGGCAACTGATTATGACGGCAAAACCCGTACCCTCAATCCTGTAACCCGCCTTGTGTAGGCCGTCCAACTACGAGGTGCTAAACCCTTTCCCAACACCCTTGATCTTCCAAGCATCAAAACTAGGCACCCTCAATCCCTACCCCTCATTCCCTAATGGCTACATGCGTGGGCGCAAATATTCGGGCTTCCTTATTATGACAGCTTAGTTTAGCTTCCTAAACAGCCGCCTACTTGAGGGGCGTTTACCTCCGACTTGTCCAGTAACGGGAGTCTTCAAAAATTTGGGCTCCCGGTGCAAGCCCCAAAACACGGTTTAGGGGTCTAGAGTTTAGGTCTATAAGCCCCACATGGGGCCGCCCCTGAATTTTCGGATGCGCCCATGGTTACCAGGCCTAGGAGAAGCAAAGCTCGGTCATAACTACACGTCACAAGGTAGGTTAGAAGCAACACACCAAAACCCTAAATCCTAAACCTTAAACTCTAAACCCTAAACCCCTAAACCAAAACCCTAATACCGGGTTTAGGGTAACATGCACCTCCAAGTAACTCCGAAATCCGAACCTGCAATAGTTAGATCGGAGTCAGGAAATGTTAGGGTTTAGGGTTCAGGGGATATATGGTGGGTTTAGGGTAAGACCAACCCTGGAAGCGTAGCACGAGCTTCCAGGCCTGAGGTTTCAGTAGGGTCTGGGTTTTTGGGTTTTCAGACCTGAGGGACATATGTCCATATTGTGGTAACTGAATTTAAGATCCTCAAACCCCTTTCTGGACCATATATTGCCACTTTAAGACCGGTAGGAACCAGTTGGCGCGAAATTGCGGCTTGACAGAAAAGACTGATGCAAGCTGCTCATTCCTTGGCTGTTGAAAAACTTGAGGGCGTAAGGTTTAGAGGAATCAGGTCGGATCCCAAATGGATGTCCATGTAGGAAGCCCTAAAACCTAAACCTAGAGACATACAAAAGATATGGGGTTTCTTTGAGAAGGAGGCGTCTGCGTCGCGAGCTAGCATTGTAGACAAAAAGCTAAGCTAAAACCCTCAAAGTAACACATACCGTACACCCCGAACATATGAAGTTACAGTCAATATTTTCCCATGTAATTGACAGACACGCGCGCTTATCAGGGAATATACTTAGGACCATACTAAACTTACCAAACGGACACCCATGTCCACCCTTGATGCTGCTCCCTTGGTAACCCTAAACCTTCAACGATAAAACCCTACGGCGTCGTAAAGCTTTGATTGACAGAAGCTCAAAATTCCTCAGCCCTAAACCCAGTTACTACTATTTCCTATAAGGTCTCCCAAGGCCTGGGGTTAAATCTAAGGTTCCTGCAAGTCGAGTTTAGGGTTTAGGGTTTAAGGGTTTAGGGGTTTAGGATTTAGGGGTTTAGGGTCTAGGGTTTGGGGTCTAGGGTTTAAGGGTTAGGGGTGCAGGGTTGAGAATTTAGGGTATTTGGGAGTTTAGGGTTTACGCAAGGGCTTGGTGTTGGGCATTGTAGGGATTTGGAGTGAAGGTCCAAGGCGTAAGGTGTGGAGCTGGGGGTTATGGGGTGCGAAGTTTAGGGGTTTAGGGGTTTAGGGTTTAGAGGTTTAGGGTGTTTGGGGCCGTGGGTTTTCTGAATGAGGGCTTTGAGCTTTAGGGCTTGAATATCTCCAGGCTTCAGGTTGAGGGCTTAGGTGGTTGGCCTAACTTATTCAATTCAAGGTTTAAGTCTCAGGGCTTAGGCTCGGGGCTTAGGGTTTAAGCTTTAAGGTCCAGGGCGTTACTGCTTCCAAACGCAAGCTGCGGGGTTCAGGGTTCAAGGTTCAAAGTTGCAATGAGGTTTTGTCCGTTGGGTTTAGGAGTTGGGGTGCTGGGTGTAGCACAGGGATGCCTGGGGGGAGCTCAAGGTTTTGTGTTCAAGGATTAGGTTCAAAGTTAGCAGGAAAAAAAGCAAACCCTACCCCCTAAACCCACAAGCCCCAAAACCCCCCAACCCCCCTAACCCAAAAAAAACTCTAAACCCCCCAAATCCCCTAAACAAAAAAGAACTTTCCCAAAATCAGACCAGATTCTCAGATTAAAGTAAGCTGCAGCATCACAATCCGGACCGCTGGATGGTGCAAATCCGTATCGCAGAGCTGCTTCCCCATGCGCTGAAGCCTGGATGTAGCATTTAGCTGCTATACCAAGTACGACCAAGGCCTGTGCCCCTAAGCTTAGCTCCGTTGGAACCCAGTATTGTGGTTTAGGGCTTAGGGTTCAGGGAATTGGGTTTAGGGTTCAGGGTTCAGGATGGCAGGGATACTTTCCAACCACGATGCTGATGTCATTCCAAGAATCGCTATGTCCTTGGATCCCTAAACCTTAAACCCAAAGCCCTAGACCCTGAACAACGAAATCGTCCTTCCGAGACTGGCTTGCACTAAAGCTCCTGAAGCTGTGAGACTTAAAGCATGAACGTTAGACCCCAAGCCCAACCGACATCCCCACACCGGAACCCACGAACTCTAATCGGTCAACCCCTTGTGACATCAAAAGCTGCTTCTTAGAAAGAGCAAAAAGATGCGCATTCTTAAGCTGTCCGCTGTACATCATCTTCAGGGACGCATTTCATCGATCAAAGAGTAGCGGGCAGTGCGTAACGGAATGTGAAAATGCCATCTTTAAACAAAGTGTCGGCTTGTTGAATTCGACTAGGTTTTTCGCTTTGTTCGCATGATATCTATAAACTACGGCTTCCCTATGGCCCAGGAGTTCAAGTGTTGGAAATCTCCAGCAAGAAAAAGTGGAATCCTTAAATCCCAAAATCCTCATCCCGGAACCACCAGGTCCCCTGAACCTCAGAAGCCCGCCCGACGCCCGGGTGTAGGGTTTTGGAGGGCTTAAGGCGTGGAATCCAAAATCTTGGCTCAGGCAAGGGGCATCAACATCCTGATCGCTATCAGAATAGCCTCTATGCAGGCTGGGATCGCTGGACCATGAGCCCTCACCTCATGAAACAAGGTTTAGGCTTCAAGGTTTAAAGGTTCAGGTTGGGGCGGTTTGGAGTTTCAGGTTTAGGCTAGGAACACGGGACACAATCACCTGGGATGATGGCGCGAAGGTAAAGAGAGGTTATGTGAGCTCTGAGTATCCCCCGTGGCTCTAAGTACTCCGCAATAATATTGCCCATAACATCCCCTATATAACCACCTTTCAGAAGTTTAGACTACAGCTCATGTAAAGCCATACCCTAAACCCTAAACCGCAAACCCTAAACCCCAAACCCTGCACCCCAAACCCTGAACCCTCAATGGGTCCCAATTCAAGGTTCGGCAACCGGTTTGAGAAGCTTCCATGACTAGGTTAGGTTTGGGGGCCCTATAAAAATTGGACTTTTATCGCATTTATGAGGATCATACAAGGAGTAAGGGCAATAGAAATTCAGAAATATTTCAAGCCTACCCGGGTTTAGAGTTAAGGGTGTAGGTTTTTCAGTCTGAAGCATTTTGGCGCAGGATTGGGGATGAGGTTCCCTGACACTTTGGGGTAAAAAGGTTAGTGTTTGAAGGCTTTGGATGCAATACGGGGCCTGATGGCTTACGCAAAGGCTTTGTAACCCCTCTCCCTAATAGTAAAAACCCCCACCCCGCAATTTTAAATATTCCCATTCTGGAATAATGTAGTAGGAGTGCGAAGTTGTAATTTTCAACGGGAGGGGATTGCACAAGATTTGCGGAAGCCTGAGCTTTAGATTTCCTGGCTAGTAGCGCGAAGGCCCTCTGTATGAGCAGGTCAACCTTTTTGGAAGCAACAAAATGATAACCTTAGAGCAACAACAGGACATTACTCATTATCCTCTAGCGGCCTTTCCTTGCCCAGGCCTCATCTAATAAGGTGATCTTAGGGCTCAGGGTGTTCGTGATGCAGCGTTTAAGGCTTTGGGTATGGAATTCTCAGGGCTTAGGGATAGGTCTTAGCGGCTTAAGCCATCCATCTCCTGAAGGTTAACAACTAGGAGGACTTTGGTAACCACCCAAGATGTGGACCGATGCGAACCATGTGAGTATAATAAACTTCTTATCTTGGGGGCTGGGGCTCCCTAAATGCCACCACTCTTCTTGCATTACCATGCTGCCCACAAAACATACTGGTGTGTTCCCTGTCCTTTGGCTACTACAGATACCAAAGACAAGCCCACCGAGCTCCGAACCAAACAATCTTTTGGAGGGCTTAAATTATCGGGGTTTTTTTTGCTTCAGAAGTATCGCCCTCTCTGGGTCCGTTAGCCCTCGTCGCAACAGCCCTGAAGCCTAAACCCTGCTCTCCAAACCCAAAGCCCTGAAGCTTCAGCAGCCATAAACCGTAAAAATGTACCCCAAACTCTCTTCCTTCACCTTAGTACACTGTACGACCAGTATTCCCATTACACAATGGCCCGTAGCATCCATACTAACAGTTAACTTTTAGGCGCCTGTAGTAGGAATCTAGTAGAACAACCCCCCCAACAGTTGAGAGTCTAAGGTCCTAGCTAATTGCCAGGGAGATGATAAATGGGCTTAGGATTTAGGATTTAGGGTGTAGGTGTTTAGGGTTGAACCTGAATCCCTGAACCCTAACCCGTAAACCCTAAAGCCTAAACCCAAATTCTTGCTACCAACCTACCTGAATCCCTGACCGCCGTTGCCCCCTCGCTGCATGAAAGCCACCCCTTGGGCTCGCCCCCAAGGATGTTAGCTTCAAATTCCTCAGTCCCAAGGGGTTGAGGGTTGAGGATTTAGTACTGAAGAAACTTACCAGGTTTAGGTTTAGGTGTTTAGGCTTTAGAGTTTGGGGTTTGGGGTCTCAAAACCTAGGCTATGAACTCGTAACCATGGGGCTTAGGGCTTAAGGCTTGAAGGCCTGAGGCTTAGTTCGGGGCTTGAAATTCATGGCTTCCTAAACAAATTTCGCCAGGAACGAGGCGGCATGACCTCCATCTAGTAATAGCAACAACAAAAATATCTACACTGTTAGGATTTTGGGTTCAAGGCTCAGCGCGAGTAGAGCGAGTAGAAAGAATAATGAATTAAGATGAATGAAGCGCCGAATGAATGCTTGCGACTCGACAACAGGATGTCCACTGGAACGGAACTCGGCATTAGAAGTGAGATCGCTCACAGATTAGGGCTTGGGATCCAAGGTTTAAGGCTTTAGGGTTTAGGGTAAAGTTTAAGGGGGTTGGGTGCAACGATCCTCTGGGCAAGGCAGCCAATGTGTCATCCTGAATGACCTTCTGAACGTTCTTCAAGTCACTGCGCCTGGTCCGGGCGTAGGTTGCCAGCAGTATGCAGGCGCAACACGGAGCGTCAAAGTCGGAACCCTATATAACCCGATTAGAGTAGTTTCCATTTTCTTTTCCATTTTCTCGATCGCCCCAATATACTATAGTAGTTTCCCTTTTATTTTCCATGGGCAAGAGACAAAGGCGGCGCTTGCTTAAGGGCCAGCTCTTGCGAGCACAACTGCTCAGATAAACCCGATACTCTTTTACTTCCGTAGTTTCGATCTTCTTTTCCATTATCCCCGTATAACCCCCATAAAACCCACACAATATAGTAGTTTCCATTTTGTTTTCAACCTTCAACCCCCATTACGTGATGGCAAGACCTGAGGGCGGAAACAAACGAAGCTCTTCGAGTTGGACCCTAGGACCAAAGGCTTGGGGGTTTAAGGTTTAGGGTTCAAGGTTTAGGGCTTAGGATCCAAGGTTTAGGGTTTAAGGTTTAGGATTTAAGGTTTAGGGCTTGGGGTTTAAGGTGTAAGGTTCAAGATTCAGGGTTTGAGGCACAAGTTTTAGGGTTTATATAAGCTACCGTCTAAGCTCCAAAAAGGGGGTTAGATAAGGGATTATATAGCAGAATATAATAGCGTCTATTGAGGGGGAGACTAGGAGTTTAGAGTATTGTTTATCTAGGGGTTCTTGGAAGGGGTTGGAGGCGGGGTACATGGGGAATATTACATTGAGAAACCCTCCCCAGGCGAGGCCCTAAACCGTAAACCCTAATTAGGGTTTGGGACTCACGTTTTCTCGAAGTAGGGTGTGTGATAAAATCCTACGAGCCCCTCTTTCCGGCACGTAAAACCTACACTCCTGAACCCTACCTAAAGATCCTAGCTGATTAATTATAAGGCTTCAGGGTGTAGGGTTTAGTGTTTAGGGTTCAGGGTGTAAGGTTTAGGGTTTAAGGTTGAGGGCTTGGGGTTTAGGGCTTAGGGATATTCATGATGTCGACTGCATCTCTAAGTAAACCCTACCCCGCCCTACCCCTCCCTGCTAAACCCTAAGCCCTAATGGGGAAACCCGAATCCCAGGTTCATCAGCTCCTGTCGGACAAGAAGATGCTCGTCCATGTGGCTGCTGGCTATCACCTTTGACGACCAAGGGATCACCCTTGGTAAACCCGAGACCGTGGGTACTGCCCCCACCCAGGAACAGTCTATGGGCAAAATAGAACAATAATAAAAAAAACAACTGTTACTGAGTGTGGGCCCAAACCCTAAACCTCCCGTTTGGGGGAGGCCGGGTTTAGGGTTCAGGATTTAGGCTTAGGATGTGTGATTCGGGGCTGAAAGCATCCCAGTAGATGCTACACTGACGGCTTCGCACTGTACACCTAAGTCATACCTGGACCTCCCAAAATTCCCATGACAATCGCCTATACACCCATGATTTCAGGGTTAAAGGTCATCTCAAAAATTAAACCTTAAGCCCTCAACCCTAAATCCAAGTAGATCGTAAACCCTGCCACTGGTAGATGCTGTTACATTGACCAACCAACGCATCACTCAGCAATACTGATGAGGAACTCTATATACAATCACCAAAAAAACGATGATAAATCAGTCCTACTTCGAGGTCATGGAAACCTCAACCCTAAACCCTAAGCCCTAAACCCTAAACCCTAAAGGCCTCGAACCCTAACGAGTTGCAGGTTTTGGGGCCCAACCCCCCAAAACCGGCGGCAAAGTGGCCCTAACTCCTAACCAACTGGGTTTAGGGTTTAGGGACAAGCGTTGGATATGATACTGATTTAAGCTACAACCCAACAAGCAATTGACAGCTGCAGAGAAGAAATGCCCCGAGAAGGAACCAGGCCGAAACCCTAAGGCCTAAGCCCTGAGTGAGCCCGAACAAACCATAACCTTCGAAACCCTAACTCTAAACCCTATGGTCCCCCTTAAGTAGATAGAATAATTCTAATAAATAAGATCCCATATACCCCATGTTCTATCTACTTAAGGGGGACTACAAATCCTAAACACCAAAAAGCCACAACCAACGAACCCTCACGCAGATAGCCAAGACGCAATTGACTTGCTACCAACTGTCTCTCCGCCTTGGCCTCAGGGATTTGGAAAATTGTCTTTGTAGGGGTTTAGGGTTTAGGGTTTGGGTTTAGGGTTTCAGGGTTTAGGGTTCAGGGTTTGAGGTTTTGGGTTTAGGGTTGAGGGTTTAGGGTCTTTGTAAGGCCCGTTTGGGCTTCCGTGCTTGTTTGGGGGAGGTAGGGTGGTGGGTTTCCTTACCTTCGGTTAGCTGGGAATGAAGGCATGGAAAAGAATCTGGAAAGTACTATAACGGGCTATAGAAGGACTACTATAAGGATCGATTCCTTCATTCCTAGCTAACCCAGGGTAAGTTTTGAGTATTGCGTAGGGGTTAGGTTTGGGTGTTAGAAAGCTTTGCACGGCCAGTGGTTCGGGCACTACTGGCAAAAATCATGTGTCTCCTGGGTATGTGTTGAAAATCCGCCCAAAAAACAATGAATGCGAAACATCCAACGTAAGAAGCCCCCAAAATCGAAACCCAGCATGCTCTCGTTGCCAAAACAGACAATGACTTTGGCGATCCATTCTTTCCTCGGACAAAGGCTGTTCCTCCCTATCCTACCTGGAGGCCCATGGGACTTAGTAACTATTTCTAACTAGCATGATAAACTGATAGTTGGGGCAAGGCAACCCCTATAAGCCCATTTAGGAGGGTTATAAGTAGGGTCATAAGGCCAGTAATTAGTAGGAATACTAAGTCGGCCCCGCTGGCAGCACTTTGTCAGAAGAAGCGCGGCCAAGATCATCTGAGCAGAGCGCACCCGCAAAGGGTGAGGTTGCGCGATCTGCCTGCTGAACCAGTTTCTTCTGGCTCTCGCGGCATGCGGCGTCTTCCACTGACGATCGATGGCGGGAGGCCGCCAACATCCTCGGCGAGGAAGAACTCTTGCCAGGAGTCTCGAAACGACCCCAGGTCATAAATGGGCCTCCAAGTAAGCCCTCCCTCAATCACTCCCTCCCCCTAAACCTAAACGCTAAAAGCCTCCACACCTGAAGCATAAACCCTGCAACCCGAACCCCTGCCCCCCTGACCCTTAAACCCCAAACCCACACTCCCGAACCGTTGTCTTACCTCTGGATAGCAAGGAATGAAAGCATGCATCCGTGTAGTAGTCTCTATATAAAACGCTAGCGAGACCATCTTTTCCATGTCTTTTCCCTTCCCTGCCTCCCTGCAAACCAAAGGTAACCCTACACCCTACACACCAAATTCCGAAGCCCAAACCCTAAACTGAACCCTAAACACCCAACCCAAAACCCTAAACACCAAACCCTACACCCTACACACCAAATTCCTAAAACCCAAACCCTAAACCCATGAACCCCACACCCTGAACCCTAAATCTTAAACACCCAACCCTAAACCCCTAAACCCTAGAGGTAAGGTGACCCTCCTGCCTCGGCTCTCCATCATCCCTGATCGGCCCTGCCAGCGTTTGGGCCGGCGCTTCGCGAGTTGTGCGGCGACCTTCCTGGGTTACTGTTAAGGAACGAAAATTAAGTTAACATAATGGTTATATATGGGGTGTTTAGGGCTTAGGGCTTAAGTTACCATAATGGGTATATTTAATAATTAATTGGGTATCTGAGAATAGCAACTTAAACTAAATTCCTTAAAAGCAACCCAGCTTCTTCAGCTCTCGCTGTTGGTGCTTGCCTTGCCAAGGCTGCATAGCGGCTCTCTCTCTAGGATCATGGGTTCCCCTACTAACCCCCCCATAGGTTCCCCCCCTAAATTAAGGATGCTTTGGGAAAATTAGTCCCAAGTAAGGTTAATCAAGGTGGAACCTAGGGAGTAGTGAAGAGAGGGGTGTATTAAGGAAACCCATGCTGGGAGCTTCTTGGACTTTATTCGGAAGACACAGGGTTAAGGGTTTAGAGTTCAGGGTTTAGGGTTGAGAGTTTAAGGTTTAGGGTTTAGAGTTTAGGGTTTAGGGTTTAGGGGTTTTGGGAACAAAGATCCCCTTTAAGCACCGGTAAGATTATGGGACCCTAAACCCTAGACCCTACACCGTGAAGAATCGAAAGCCTCGAAAGCCTGCCAAGAAGCCCTCCACCCCATGAAATCCCAAAAAGTTTCTTTTCAAATGATAGGCATTTTGCCAAAGTACAAAATGATAAAAGGTACATTTTTCAGGACCAAACATGGAGGCTTCCCGCTAAAAGTTCAATGGCGCTCAATCCCGGCCAGCATGGTGAACTGCAAGCCCTGAATCCCAACAATCCCGAACCTCAGACCCTACATGCTAAGCCCCAGAGCCTAGACTCAGAGATTAAGACCTGAAATTTAAATCCTCCAGGGAGATGGCGAATTTTCCATGAATCCTACACCTCAAAAACCCTCCCAAACCCCTAAACTCTACACCCCCAAACCCTAAA